CCTTCTCTCTTACACTTTACCTTTCCACTCCTTCATTACCTATCTTCTAATACTCGCCTCATGAGGCTTTTCTCTTCCCCAAGTATCCCTCCTCCTTTCCCTGATGATATCATTGTTGTGATACGTTTTACTGTTTTATAAACCAAAACCACATAGAGACAAAATTCAATAATCACAATAGCTAGGTGCAAACCATTTAAGCACTCCCTCAAGTACTTAAATACAACAATCTATATACGATACAGAATGCACACTATAACAATCTCAAATATCAATATAAATCTTTAATAAATATACATATATTAATAAAATACAAAAAGAAACAAAGTAACAGAATAAGGCAAATAGTAATCAGGAGTAATTTACCCAAACCATTCAAGCCTCAAGGCAGAAACACAAGCCACCAATCACCCCAACGTTTCGGCACCTACTAGTTGCCTTTATCAAGGGTACCTGTATCTGTGTACTCATGTGCCTGCTTATAAAGCCCCCATACAGCTGATGGCCATCAGCATGAAATTATAGCCACCCCCCGGGAGTGACATCATCATCACGCCAGGTTTTGGCATAACACACCAGATTCGCTAAACAAAATACAATGTGCGTAACATACATACATAACTAAATATCATAATGATACTATATACATTATATTTGGCATATAATAAAGGCTTCTTCTTACGTCCGAGAACATTATTGTCCCCACGCACTATATGGCTTGCACTGCCATCTTAGTCACTGTCACCATATAAACATATATTGGCCGTGCGTGCGCAATTTATCATAGGCCGTGCATGTGCATTGAATGCGCATTATGATCCTATATCGGCCGCGCGTGCGCCATAAACAATATGCTATCTCAACGGCCATAGTGGATAGAAATACACTGCGCCATCTTGCTTGATGGCCATTGGAGTAACTAAATGAACTCCATTTGTTTAAATATACATAGGGATTAAGGAGAGAGCGCAGGTAACTTGTTTTTCTTTGGTTTTTACTATATATATTGGGGATGATGTGTACTGTAGGAGTGATGGGAGTGATGGGAGTGAGCGCAGGACTTATCTTTCTGTATTTGTATTCCCTTTTTGTATCACACAGCATTGTTACAATGCTGCTGCCCATCCCATGTGTTCCCTATTAAGGGTTAATAAGTATATAGGGGTGTATATAAAAATACCCCTCTCTGTCTCATTAGAGATATCTTTGCCAGAAGCTCAAGGAAGCAAGGTGAAGGGTCAGTGTAGGACCCGCTTAGGAGGGTCTGCCTTGACATTGGTAGGCGGGCATTCCCTCCAATGGCCATTGGAGTAACTAAATGACCTCCATTTGTTTAAATATACATAGGGATTAAGGAGAGAGTGCAGGTAACTTGTTTTTCTTTGGTTTTTACTATATATATTGGGGCTGATGTGTACTGTAGTAGTTGCTGCCGCCCATGAGTGATGGGAGTGAGCGCAGGACTTATCATTCTGTATTTGTATTCAGAGATTTATGACAAATAACAGTGTTACAATATCACTGTTTATACATTTTAAATATATATATTTTGAAACGGCAATGTCCTACTTGTACTTATAGCCCTATAACTTGCAAAAAAAAAGCTAAAAACATGTTAACATTGGGTATTTCTAAACTCAGTATCAAATTTAGAATCTATTTAGCATGGGTGTTTTGGGGCGGTTGTAGATGCGGATTTTGGGGGTCAAAGTTAGAAAAGGTATGTTTTTAAAAATGTTTTCATCATATTTTATTTTGTTATAGTAAATTATATGATATGATGAAAATAATGGTATCTTTAGAAAGACCATTTAATGGCGAGAAAACCGATTTATAATATGTGTGGGTACAGTAAATGAGTAAGAGGAAAATTACATCTAAACACAAACACCGCAGAAATGTTAAAACAGCCCTGGTCTTTAGCGGTAAGAAAATTGAAAAACAGACTGGTCACTAAGGGGTTAAATACACATACTGTTTTTGAAAAATGTTGCTGTATTGTTGGTTGTAGATTATAATTATAATACATTACTATAATGTTTTGTGTAGGCTATGAACAGATTGTGTCTTAATAGTTGATCAGCTAGTGTTACAATACTCTGCTAATTGACATTTGGCTAACAAATTTACAAGCAATATTTAATATACATAAACCCTAGTGCAGGGGTCAGCAGCCTACGGAACGTGTGCCATGCATGGAACTTGGAGTGCCTTTGTACGGCACTCAAGGCTACTAGAGCCAAACAGGCACGGCATATCAGGAGTCCTTAGTGTAAACCGAGTGGTGATTGAAGGTGGTGAAGGGCAATCCTCAATGTACGCATTGCAGAATTTAGTGGAAGTGATCTAAGATCACTATATTCCAGCACTGGTGAACAAAACCCTGCACTGGAGTAGAGCTACCTGCAGCAGCTATTGCAGCTTAGTGCCCTTGACCTGTACCTGGCTAGTCCAGTCTCTACTGGACCCCTGGGAAGTCACCCACACTGCTAGATAAACACAGAGCTGAAGAATAAGCATAGTGGCCATTGGAGTTACTAAATAACCACCATTTATTTAAATATGCACAGGGATTTAGGAAGAGCGTAGGTAATTTTTTTTTCTTTGTTTTTCCTCTATATGTATTGGGGCTGTTGTGTACTATGGTCCTTGCTGCCGGCCAATAGTAGTGGGAGTTTGAGAGCATGTTTTTTTTTGTATTTGGATTCACTTTTATATCACACAGCTATGTTGCAATGCTGCCACCCACCCCATGTGTTCCCTATTAAGGGTTAATAAGTATGTAGGGATTAAGAAAATTCCCCTCTCTGTCTCATTAGCGATATCTCTGCCTGAAGCTCAAAGAAGCAAGGTGAATAGTCAGTGAAAGACCCACCTAAGAGGTTTGCCTTGACCTGGCAGGTGGGCATCCCTCTAATGGCTATTGGAGTTACTAAATAACCTCCATTCGTTTAAATATGCATAGGGATTTGGGAAGAGCACAGGTGACTTTTTTTTTTCTCCAGCCCCTATACAGAGCCCACATTCATAGATATCATGCACAATGCCACAAACTACTCATGAACGCATTCTTTACAATGTAACAGCCCACATATAACAGCACAAATACAAAGCAAATGCATCCACAAATAACACAAGCTGAATAAGGCAACATACACACTAAATTTTAAAAACCCCAATGGACTTTAAAATCTCCATTTGGCACAGAACTACTAAAAGGTTGCCTACCCCTGCCCTAGAATATTTGCAGCCCATGAGGACTAGAGTTGGAACCTTGACTCATACATGGTTATTCGGTAACTTGAGAATTGTCAGAAATTCAAAGTGAATTTTAAATTTAAGGGCAAGAAAGCCAAACTATAGAGAATCTCAATCAGGAATGTGTTCAGTTTTTATACTTTGGTCTTAAATTTGAAACTCACTTTAAATCCCTACCAATTCTCACTTTAGCGGATAGCCTTGTTTTTCTCCTATGTGAGCACTTGGGAGCACCAAGACACACTTGGGAGCACCACATCGAGCTTTCCTTCCTTAAGCTTTACTGCTTCTTTAACCCCTTAAGGACCAAACTTCTGGAATAAAAGGGAATCATGACATGTCACACATGTCATGTGTCCTTAAGGGGTTAAGCCACCTTATAGCCATTCTGCAATAGAACTTCATGTGAAGAAGCCACACATGAATTTTGAAGGGCTCTGCAGCCTCAAGATAAACATGATGTTATCCACAGTAATAAAGCAACAATGTGATAAGGCTGTCTGTAGAAGAACAAAAAAAAACCAAAGCCTCAAAACGATTTAATTAGGATGGTTGCATGAGCAATTAAAGGGACAGTGTGGAATCAACTGAAAAACAAAGCAAGATTTTATGAAAAAATAATTTTACTAATAAGAGATTAGTGTTTTACATATTGAGTTCTGAAGGTGGAAAATAACCTGTTTTAATGCATTGTTCTCCCATTTAGTGTGCAAAGAGTTAAGCATTCTACATAAAACATTCTTGCTATTTGTGCAAAACGTTTTTATGATTTCTCCCCTTTTTTACTAGATTTGCCCACAGATCTGTAATGGTTCTTGGGTAATAGCTAATGCAGTATATCTATCCAGATTTCCTTTCTCATTGTAATTCATAAAGCCTTTCTTGTTATCTTCAATTAAATGTGAGATAAGAACAAATTTGCAGTGGGTTAAAATGTTTAATTAAGATAAGCTTCTTTTGCAGGTTTCAATAGATGTAAGCAGATATTTGCTTTTTACATGTAGTGCAAGTTCTTTTTTTTATTATTATTTTTTATTGACTGGAGAATAGGTGGTTCATATTAAAATGATTATTCATATTTTTCATACAGCTGAAACTGCCAAACTTCTGAGCCTAGAGTCCATTAACTTATGGGTTGAATCCGTGAGACCCAGGAATAAGGCAAATACAATGGTTGAAACCAATATATTCTAAAATTAATTCTGTCATAATCAGGGCACTATCCAATGAAGAAGAGGAGATCCATGTTCATCGTCACTTTTTGCAGGACCCTGGGTGAGGTTTGCTCCATCCAAATAAAAACATACATTATTCTCCATTCGCACACATTTAAATCGTCACAGGGATCAATCTAATTAACAACAAAATAGCACACATACAGAGACAGAAGGTAACATGCTTGTAGCTTGACACAAATGAACAATAGAACCCAGAAATTAATGTACATTATAACATATTCTTATACACACACTCACATACACATGGAGCTGCTTCCATTACTTACCATGTTGATTACCTCACATTTAGTACTTAGTATTACTTTTTAGAACAGAAAACAATGATAAATTTCCCTAATTGTAGAAAACAGTCCTGTTGCAACTTGTACTCTGGGCAAATGGCTTTTTTGCCCAAATATTAACCCGTTACTGCATGCAAATACATTAAAATCATATATGTTGATTAGCGATGTCCCGAACGGTTTGCCGCGGACGGCGAACATATGACTCTGTACCTCACAGTCAGCAGACACATTCCAGCCAATCAGCAGCAGACCCTCCCTCCCAGACGCTTCCATCTCCTTGACAGCATCCATTTTGAAGCTGCATTCTTAGTGAGCTGTCCAGGAGGTGGGAGGGCCTGGGAGGGAGGGTCTGCTGCTGATTGGCTGGAATGTGTCTGCTGACTGTGAGGTACAGGGTCATATGTTCGCCATCCGCGGCGAACCGTTCGGCTAACCGTTCTGGACATCACTAATGCTGATGAATATGGTCTCTTGCTCCATGTTTTCACTGGGGGTTACACTTGTACGACACAAAACTCCAGCAGACGCCTTTTTGGAAAGCACAGATTTGTTTCCCATAACAGGTTAATAGTGCCCAACACTTTATGATGGCTTTGTGTAAACAAAACATATATGTTCACATTCTCTATTTTCATATTACCTGTCTAAAGTTATGAACAGGCTCTGGCTGTTTCTCTCCTATTTCTGTGATGCTTTCACTCAGAGCCTGCCCCTTCTCCCTACCTTCCCTTGGAGCCATTGCTTTACCTTAGGTTAAAATTCAAGCAGGAGGGTGTTCCTGATAACAGACCTGCAGAACACAGCCTTCTTATTTTTGTGCTATTCGACACAGACTGAACTGACTGAGCGGAGGGGGAAGGGGTGTGTTTTTTAAACTGGTTTTAGACAATTCTAGACATTTGCTAGCAATTCTTCTTGCACAATGTATAGATGCAATTTAATTCCCTGTCATTTTATGTTGTTTGTCTTGACAGATACCCTTTAAAATACAAGGGGCATAAAAAAAAATGCAAACAGTACCGCTTTAAAACATATGCACTGAACAAAATTATAAATGCAACACTTTTGTTTTTGCCCCTATTTTTCATGAGCTGAACTCAAAGATCTAAGACTTTTTCCATGTACACAAAAGGCCTATTTCTCTCAAATATTGTTCACAAATCTGTCTAAATCTGTGTTAGTGAGCACTTCTTCTTTGCCAAGATAATCCATCTACCTCACAGGTGTGGCATATCAAGATGCTGATTAGACAGCATGATTATTGCACAGGTGTGCCTTAGGCTGGCCACAATAAAAGGCCACTCTAAAATGTGCAGCTAATGTAGACATACACTGTTCATGTATCTTTTTTATTTTCTATGGATATATTATTCCTGTGCTCTTCCTCACATAGATTTAACATTGTAACATATGCATCAGTGGCTGTGAATTGCATACACTGTATTTCTGTTATAGACTAGACACCTTGAAATGCCATCAGAGTGATTCATTCCCTCATCAGTTCTTGCTAGCAATGTGCTTTGGAGAGATGCCAGTGTTCCTTACGAGAAAACAAGATCTAGTGCTCCGTACACTGTAAATAGAGTTTTTTTTTTTATTGGCAAATTAAATCTATATATTTAGGAGCTCACTTTATCTATGCATATTGCATCTATTTAACATCAGCATAATAAATAATGATATGAAACCTTTTAAAACCAACAAACCAAGGCAACTGAACTTTGTATTAATTCTATCCCGGTACTGTGTTAACAGAAAACCTGGCAGCGAGAGATAAATAGTGTAAGCACTACCTACCAACATCCAGTCTAATGCAAGCCCTACGTTTTTGCACCTCTTTTTCTCTTACCAAAAACTGCTGTTAAAGTGAAGGAAAAAAAACCTTTCGTTAAAATGCCCCCATATACATTGAATACATCATATAGCATATCATATAACAAAAATGTGTGATGTATTCAATGTAAAATATCAAAATATACTCACCTGCGCTCTAGCGTTGCCATCTTCAGAACTTCGTGGGTGTAACTCTCCGTGTAACATCCACTTCCAGTCCATGCTCATCTCCTACTCTGGTCTTCTGGACCCCAAACAGGGCAAACCTCCTGTGAGACACTGACATGTTTGCCTCACTGCAGTCACTCCATTTCTATAATCCCTATAGCAGTGTTACAGTGCGCATGCACTGTGGTTGCTATGGAAACTCTGCACAGCAGTGTACAGAGTTTCCATAGCAACCACAGTGCATATGCTGTGGTTACTATACTTGGGAGAGCAGAAGGACCACCTGTGGGAGGTTTTTTTCTACTCTCACTTGTCAGTTAAATAATAAGCATAGAGACATTTTTTTAAAAAGTTTTTCTCACTTTTGCTCACAAATCATTAAAATGAGCTCTAGCCACACCTTCCCTGCCTGTCACTCACACAGACAACACACTGTGCAACACAGAAGCTAAAAAAATGTACTCTTTTTTTCAGGACGTGTGTAGGGAAAGTGTGGATAGTGTGGAGTGCTGAGTCTTGTGACTGCAGGGACACCAAAACCAGTTTATTAAGCTAAAGTTGTTTTGACACTTAGAGTACCCCCTTTAACTGAAGTGTATTAACCAGCTATCTTAATGAACACAACTCCCATAAATTTTTGCAGTGTAATTAACATGACACATGTGAATTACATCACTCACTGGCTAAATCAGATATCAAGTGTGAGGAGATATTTATTTATATTTTTATATATATTAAGGCCTTTTGGCCTGTAATTGTGGGAGGGGCGAATGACACACACCTTCCCTACTTAAGGGACACCCCTTAGCTGGCTCCATACCGTTCGAGGTCAGCGCTGCATGAGGATCCACTTCCGGTTCCCATACGGCGCCATCTTGGTTTTCAGAAACCCACGATTTCTTCAAGTGTAGCTGTGTCCTGGAAGCCCTTCTTGAAGGTCTTTTCCCACCCGTCCAGCTCCTTGTATACTCCGGTCTTCGTCGAAGACAACGTCCCAGGGTCTTCAAAATCGTAAGTCCGACGCCTGGATCATTCCCACGGCGTTCCGTTTTCCAACGGGTCCTCACTTTACGGCTCTCCGGCCTTACGGCAAGGTGGCAATTCATACGTGGTTTTCCCATTTCGGTTCATAAATTCGTGCTATAATCCTTTCGGTATGTTTCTAATGTATTCCATATGGTACTCATGCACACCATTTCGTGTCATTTCATTTTCATGCATTTTACCGAAAAGCACTCATTCATGCTGCCTTCCGTTCGGTTTATTTCAATCGGTACATATCTTACATCTAGGTCGGTCAAACTTGACGAATTGACACTGCTCTTTCTGTTCATTATAATGGACCTTTCGACAGTTTGCTCAGTTATGCACGCATTCGTTCACTTTTTTCCATACTGCAATCTCTGGTTCTGTTTTATAATAGACCAATTCGGTTCATATACCTTGCTATGTACTGTTATAAATTTGTTTAAATCTGTCATACTTATATATACATACTTATTCATATCATACTAGGTTTTACATCTTGATCAATATTTTCTCATGTATATTGGTTAATTTATAGTTAATTTAAGTTACTTATTATAGATATTTTAGGTATATTACAGTAATGGTTTATGGCTTATTTCTAAAGTCTTATGAAGATCATGCTTTATTCAACCATGTACATCAGGATTACATGGCTCTTACATTTTCAGACCATTTCTTGACATACTCAGACGACATACCACGAGTATACAAGAACACGGTCTTATCTTGTAATTACAGTGGATGTCGGCTTTTGCATATATGTTTAAAATGTTACAGGGCTCATGCCAAAACCATGTGTCCAAATAAAATGTATCCTAAACAATACTTAACCTCGATAAACATTTCTGTACTTACGCCATTACTGTCACATCATCCATCTAGACATTTGGTAGAATTCATTATATCGGGTCTGTCAGAAGGATTCCACACAGGTCTCATACACATGCCTTCCGGAATCCTGGAATGTCCAAATTTACAATCCGCACAGCAAAATCCTACAGCGGTTGACACACTCCTAGTCTGAACTCCCTCATACCCACATACCCTCTGAGGAATTTTCACTGCAATATTCCACCATAGATCAGGCCTTACGGCTATCATGCAGGCAGGGGTCGGAGCATGGCTCAGTAAGACCGATATAACAAATGCTTTCAAGTTGCTGCCTATCCACCCTACACTCTGGCACCTACATGGCATCAAGTGGGCCGGGAACTACTACTTTTTCTCACAATTAACTTTTGGTTCCAAAAGTAGTCCAGCCATTTTCGACGTATTCGCTGAAACCCTATGCTAGTTATTATTAAATATAGCCAGATGCCCTACAGTCATACATTATATGGATGATTTCTTACTCGTCAAGCAGAATATTTCAGCTCCCAGTAGCCTCAAAGAAACCATCAGTCTTTTCACACAGTTGGGTGTCCCAGTCTCCCCCACTAAGACTGAAGCACCAGATACCTTCATCACATTCCTGGGTATCATACTAGACTCAGCCACCATGCAAGCGAGCCTGCCACGTACCAAGGTAGAAAACATTCTTACAAACATAAATCTCTACATACAACTCGGTAACTGCAACCGCAAAGAACTACAGTCTCTGCTGGGGTCACTAAATTTTGCCATGCGCATCATACCTCAAGGTCGTGCTTTCATCTCACGACTCCTTCACATGTTCACACTTTTCAGACATGATGCACACAGGTTATCCCTGGATACCGCAGCCACGGCAGACCTACTCATGTGGAGAAACTTTTTAACCACCTGGAATGGTAAAAGTATGTTCCCCCCTGAATTGTCTGACTCCTCACCTACCATCTGGTCAGATGCGGCATCTACCACAGGTTTTGCAGCAATTTACAGAAACGAATGGCTTTGGGGTAGCTCACCTTCAGAAGTTAAGGACCTGGAAGGTTTTACCACTACCTCAGCTCTGTTTGAGATATATCCCATAGTGGCGGCTGCCGTGGCATGGGGGCATTTATGGGCAGGTTCGCCAGTACGTTGCTACTCAGACAACCAAGCAACCTGCCACATTATTAACAAAGGCCGATCCAAATCACTGACTATTATGAGATTCCTGACGAAACTCACTTGGTTGGCTGCATGTCATAATTTCTTCTTGTTTTGTGTTCATGTTCCAGGTGTATGTAACACGGCTGCTGACAATTTGTCTCGTTTTAATTTCCAGGCTTTTCATCAAATCCTCCCATCAGCCGCACTCACAGACACGACCACTCCACTATTCCACCATCTAGTAATGGACTAGACGCTATCATGCAACATAGCAGAACATTGGCCCAATTAGCACTGTCTACTAATACCCGTAAAACATACGACAGAGCTTTCA